CCAGCCCCGCCGACGGGTACACAAGGTGAGCCCTCAGCAACCCCACGGTTATTGGAGTACCCCCTCCGTCAGTCGGCAGTCCAGGGCACTGTGTGTCCGAGTGGATCGCAACGTGATTTTGCGAACCCCACTCCACCACAGTAGCAAGTGTTTTGTTCGCAATCCCTTCATCTTCCGATCAAATAGAGCGGGATTTCGGCATAGCAGGACAGTTGGTAACTCCGCAGGGAGGGTTCATAGCACCTCAAAATGCGGGTATGTCCGCATTTTCTAAACTGCAATAGGCAGTTCGTGGATGTGATGTAGTGCCCAATGATTCACCCACGAGATATCGACAAGTTTATCCCATCGAATGTCAATGTAGGAAGGCGACGCAGAGGGTTGTGAATTGTTGAGCGGGTACTTTTCGAGTGACGATGAAGAAGAAGGCGGCGTAGACAACTGGATTTTAAATATAAAGAATATGCATGTCATTACGCCTTTGTATCTCTTCTTCCTTGATTGCCTCGTTCAGTGCGCTTCACTATTATATTTGTTTTAGCAACTCGCACGGTTAATCGACAACTCGGCCAGTCTTAGAGCCTCCTCCGCATTCTTTTTCTTCAGGATATTGCTTTCTTCAGAGTGGTTCGGGTCAACGCACGTGCAACAACTTTTTGTTGCTGGGATCGACGAATCGCTTGCAGATCGTGACTTGATTTAATTTCTAGTTGACTGGTCAACGTAGTACAGCGCACTGATTTAAGTTGTTCGTGTGCGTCTTCGGCCAGTGTATCTCGATTACTTCGATCTAGTTTGGACACATCAATATTGCCGGTATACTTCTCCTTCTCTTCACCCGATTACACCGAAGATGCATTAGTTGAGGTAGCCATCGAGGACGTGTTGAGGTCCATTGTGTTGGCTTCACCACACGATCGCTGCTCATGATCCTCTTTAATGGCATACTGCCCAGCACCTTGGCTTTTCACGTCTCTCCCCTTGGCCATTTGCTGGATAAGGAAAGATCGAAGACGTTCATCGACATGCAATAGAGCCGTAGCCACAGCCGTTTTCTTGAACTCTTTCTTTGTTTGTAATAACATCGTTTCTAGTATCTCGTGAGCGGCGTTCTCCTGTGCGTAGTGGCGTCGAACGATCGACTTGGCTTCCTTTTCCGCAGTAGACTTTGCCTGCTCCACCTGTGTTGTATTATCCTTCTTAACAGCTTTAATTTGCTCTTTAACCGCTTTCAGAATTTCTTGACCTTGTGCTGCTATTGCGAGTCGGATTTCCACACTCACTTGTTCTGCATGAGCTTTCAGAACGTCCTGGATGCGCTGCTCCATGCTGGCGTGAAGCTGGTCATGAAGGCGCTGGAAGGTCTCCGTCATTCGAACGTCAGCATTATGTGCATGCTGTATAGTATGAGCTCCAACAACAGCTCGCGCTTGAGCCTCAGCAACGTCGTTAGCTGCAGCAACTGCTGACTGTAGCTGTGCGTTAACATGCTGTTCAATAGCCATGGGGTCTATCTGAGTTTTACGAATCATTTCAGCTAACACCAGGCTCCTTTGCTCGGCTTCGTCACGCGCTTGTTGAAAGCGAGACTCAGTGTACAGCTGCTGTTGCTGGGCTTAAAATTGCTGACTAGCGTGAAGCTGCCGCTGACACTCAGCGATACCTTGTGCTTAGGCTGATACGTGTGCAATCGCCAGGCCTAGCCTGCGGTTGGTAACTCCGGCGCGTGAATCTTCGCCATACACCACGAGCCCTTCACTGTTCTTGGACGCCATCACGAGAGAAGATTGCGTGACTCCTCGGTAAATCGTTATGTGCAGTCAGCTAAAACTTAGGAGCCCGGGTGGCATTTTACCCAATTGAATAAATACAGATATCATCCAACCCAGAGATAGAAAGGAGAGATCAAGGAAATCAAGGATACTCTCTCTCCTATTCAGTTCGTCTCTCTTCACTTACATACGAGAAAAGGGAGATAAAAAACCTCGAGAGATCGTCTCTCGAGGTTTTATAGCTCTCTATTTTGGAGGGAGATCCGTCTCCGTCTCCCCTCCTTCTAGGCTTGCGCAACTGTCGCAACTGCCATTGTGGATTTTCACTGGTCATTCTGGCCACAAAAGTTGTATTGAGCTGTAAGACACTTAGCCGCCGCTCTTTATGTAGCACGTCGCTCGCGATAATGAAAATTGACTGTCTTGGAGAGTCAATGCGTGACTCGCTGTGGAGTCCGACGCTGGGCCCGCCTGCGCATTGCGCATGGTGCATGGTGCAAGGACTCCGCGGCCCAAATGCCTACCGCACATTTGCACAGTTTCTGTGTGCAAACGTGAGGTGATCAAATCACGTGTTTGTGCTAACGCGTTTAAGTGTAACAAGGGAGCGCTATGTTTATTACGTGTCCGTCGTGCTCCTGTGTGACGCATTGTTCCGAATAGTAGTGGGGTGAATAAGTGGGAATTGAGTCTTGAGTTTGCAGGCAGTTTGGAGTCGAACCTTACTCGCGGCTTTGCAGCGACTGCGTCTTTTCCCGACGGGCTCTAGGTTCGCGCCAAAATTCCAGTTCAACACACCATAAAAGTAAAATGAGCCTGACTTGACAATCACTCTGCTTTTTGACAGGGCTCCCGAGCGCAATGCGGGACGTTGGCGTACAAGACATCACTGTGGACGTGCCCCTGCCGAGAGGGAGTATTACGCTGCCTGCGTGATGAAATATCTTCTTCGACGATTTACCCCGGTCAAACCAATCGTGGTTGCGCTTCAGTGGAGAGGCAACAGCCGCGTCATTTGCGGCAAAGATGCCGGAAAGTTTTTACTTCTCATCAGGCAGTACGGAGGACTCTGAGGAAACCAAGATATCGCTGAGCCGGTCAAGTCTGCTGATCTTGTTGGAGTTGGTCGCGTACATTGTGGCGAAGAAACCACACCGCGCGGTTCCTACGCATTCCGCATTGAAGCGGTACTCAACCCATGTGACGCGCCGTGGTGACGCGCTTTTTTCAGCCCTTTCCGGCTGCATTTTGCGCCAAAATGAATGAATCGATTTCGCACTTTCCGATGATACAATTTGGAGGTTTGCAGTTCAAAATGTCGCAATTGCGTCTGGTGCCACCGCGCTAAGTTCGCACAGACTTTTTATTGTACATTTTGGCTTCAAAAGCAGAATCAAAATCGCCCCAGAAATAGTATTTGGCTGCAGAACGGCCAGAAGATGCAAACGGTATCCTCACTTTGCAGCATGATGCAAGATGGGAGGCCCCGATCTTCCAGATGGCCGACTACGGCCTCGTCGACGACCTCTTCAACGCCGTGCCTGAGCTCACGGAGAAGATCTAAGCGATGTCGACCCGCACACAAGTTGAGAAATATGACAAAAATTCCCATATTCATCGCAATAATGCAATTGCCAACCCTTTTTTTCTTCCTTTCGGTGAATTTGTTGTTGGAGACGCACAAACTTTACGCTTGTTGCGCCGTGACAATAGGCACGGGAGTGGCTCCAGCTCGAGGACTGCCATGCTGAGAGTACGAGCTTGAGTCACGTCCACGGCGACCAGCACCTCGTTGGCGTTGTCTCTCATCGTCGCGTGACCCGACCATCGCTATGCCTAAAAAGGCGAACGTTGAGAGGAATGACGCTGCCACTGCGAGATACACTGCTCCACAACGCACGAAGCGGCTGTACTTGCCATGACAATGCAGCGTGACGCCAGATAATAGCAACAGGAGCGTCGCCACAGCGAGACACGCGAACAGCACGATATCCATGACTTTCTCGCAGTAGTTGATTGGGTGGATACACAGTCGAAGCCACTCGATAAACACCAAGAAGCCGAACGCGTACAGGAACGCAACAAAGTTGATAATCCGCGCGAAGCTCATGACGCCGCTGCTCACGACCACAGCGACAGTTTGGCCCCCTGCAGTGTTCTGGTACGATACGCCAGCCGTTCGGAGCGCGATAAAAGCCACCAGCGAGCTGCAAAACTGGACGAGACGGAGGAAAACACGCATACAGAAGCGGCTACACGCTCCCCGCGCCATTGTTGCTTATTGATGATCTTTTCGGTATAATGCTTTCTTGGAAATGACATGAACACATTTGAGACCTTGGTCTTACAGTTGATAAGAGCAAAAAGGCAGGAAAATGAACGTAGGTTCCTGCGAAAAATCACTGAAACTAGCGCAACACGATACATGTATTAGCGTTTGTCTCTCTTAAGCTTCTTCAGCGCATGTTCATTACAAGAGAGGAAACGTCGGGAAGGTTGGCATAGTTGTTGAGAGATGCAAATGTCCGTGGGTAGAGCAAAACTCAATGGTAAAAATGGGAAAGCTTTCATATTCCTTTAAAAAAAATATCAAACTACATGTACCGTCACTCTTCTTCCCCATGGCCAAATCTCCAACACTCGCTCAGCTTACACCTGGTTGGATGCGTCTTTAGGTGTCGAAGCTCCAGTGGGCGTGGCCTCAGCGTGATATCCACCACGACCTTCATCCGAGTCGCTGTGGTCTCCGGTGCCACGTGATCCCATGAATCCTTCGCAGCAGTCCAGCAAAAACGTGACAAAGTACGAAAACGAAACCAAGAAGGTGAAAACCACCGCGGTCTTCAACTGGTTGCAACGCAGCATGTAGCCGTACACGGAGCAATGATTCACATAGTCCGACGCCACCAGAACAATCCCAGCCACAAGCAGTAAAGCTGCTAGGAGCAGGTCCAGGACTTGTTCGATGATACGCGGAGTAGGACGCGGGAAGAAGCGCAACAGCTCCACGAACAGCAGGAAGAGTCCCACTAGCATTCCAGTGTAGGTCATTAGCGTCGTGTACGTCGCCGCTCGGCTGCCCAGCATACTCGAGTAGCCATAGTAGGAGGACCCCACAAACGCTCGCGACACGGTTGCCAGTGCCACCAAAGATAACGCGAAGTTAAGGAAGCGAAGCAGAGCTCGCGAACAACGCAACATATCTCCACGTGCCATCTTTTTCCACTTCTGTCGTCTTCGGTGTTTTGGAGAATGGCAAAGAAAAGGAAGAGAAGGTTTTGCATCCGGGACGAGGACTTTGTTCCGGGGACATGACGTGAAATCGATCCAACCGTTGCAACTTTCTCAATTGGAAATCATACCAACCCAACGGGTGGGAGTGGAGTTAGTAGAGTTGGAGGGGGTGAGCACACATTGTCGAATGGAGACACGAGGCTGGTTAGTATCACTGGGGAGTGTGGCAAACTGGTGTCGGTATCCTCGAACCACACGCTACTCGCTCGAGATTTTCCTGAAATTCTTGATTCTTCACGAATCGGAGAAAGCGCGTGTAGCTTTGAGACTGGCGTGGATCTAGTCAAGTGGTAGGATGTTGCGAAATTCACGTTGCTTATAGTCGTGAGGTTGTTGATTTCCACTGTGGTCATGGGAGTTGGAGGCGGACGAGCGGCCTGTGCTTCACGACGTTTTTTCGAGTACATGTACAACTTGAAGGCGATTATCAGCAGCAGCAGTACCACCGCACACGAGATGATCCAAATCAACGACGTCATGCTTGTTATTGACGTTGCAAATACGAATGTGACCTGGAGGGCGGACCAAGACGCCTTTTCAAGAGCTACCGAAGAGAACTAGTGCACGACTATCCAAGCTGTGGCTTCCTGGGTTGCTCGATTCTGGACGGATGTCTATAGAGCACATCTTGGACGGGATCCTACACATGTTGGACGATGATGTCGATGCGATTGAGCTTGAAGTTGATCACCATGTTGCGAGAAGTATCAGACCAAGCATAGAGCTATCAGCTCGAACTTATGCTTGTTTCAGTCCAAGCCCCAAGTGTAGAGATGGAGGTACCTTTGTGCACTAGAGCAACGTTCTCAATGCTCTTGTCCTCAAGCCTTGTGCTTATGAGGATTGTTGCCCAGGATATCCTGATTCCAACGAGCCAGTAGGCACCAAGTGCAAAGCGCTGAGTTGCGCAACCACTGCTTCGCTGGAAGTAAACAATCGTGGAAGAGAGGTTACGCCCGGAACGGATTCGTTGCTGCTGACAGGGTGTTGGGGATGACAGGAGAGTGTGGAAGTTGTTCTTCGCCTCGTAGTGTTCGCTTGGGCGGACTGCATCCAGTTTTGATCGGAGAGACCAAACTTGTCATAACCTTGGGGGATCGCGGCGGTCTCTCGATAACGCGAAGCTCCGGTGTTGCTGTCGTCGGGGTATCGAACGGAGATAATGCCTGGGCCTCCGGTGTCGACCACGTCATGTGGTATGGCTCGGGTGAGAGCAATACACCGCTGCCTACTTCAAGATCGATCTGTGCCTCTGTGTCCGTGTCTTCTTGTCGACCACAGCGTAAATAACAACGATGGAGAAGTCCTGGGATGAACTTGAGCATCACCACGATGACTGGAAGTACGATACCGAGAGTTATTTCGATGGACATGAGTGCACTTGACCTCAAGCGCCGGAAAGTCGAAATGATCGAGGAGCTCCACAGAAATTGCCAAGGAGTTCTAAGCCCATCAACACATTTGAACCCAGCTTCCTGTACATATTCGAGCAGCACCATACACGCAGGACGGAACGCTGGACATACTAGCGCTTTGTAAATTTCGATGCATGTTACAGATAACGACATTCAAGTTGCTACAAAAAAAAAAAAAATGTTCTATCATCGAGTTTGAGGTCAGATCGCGGTGGATCTCTAACGTTGATGCCTACGGCTATTGGAAGCAAGAAGGAGGCTTTCTTGAGCACTAACGGGAGGAAAGCGTGCGTATATTTAGTGAGCACTTCGCATTTAAATCGACTGTCCTACACCTTGGCACCGGGCGAGTTGAGGTCCTGAACTGGGGACAGAGCATCCGTCGGCGTCACCTCCATGTGATACTGTCCTGGCACTTCAGTTGGGCCCGACGTCGCCTTGTTCGTCGCGAGGATAGACAACACCAACGACGCCAAGAAGGCGAACATTCCGATGAAGGTGAAGGCGACTGCAGCCTTGAGGTTGTGGCAGTGCCACAAGCGGTCGCAGTAGCTGATGTAGTCCGACGCAGCGAGGCAAATACCTCCGATCAAGAGCATGAGAGCCAATACACCGTCGATCCCTTGCTCGACACGCGTTGAGAGGCGAGCGGAATAGTGGAGAATCTCCACTGCCACGACGAACCACAGCGTGTAGAGCATTCCCGTGTAGTTCATGAGCAAGACGAAGTTGGACGAGTGGAAGGCGATGCCACCCGCTGCCACGAACGACAAACCCAGCAGGCAACAAAGGAATTGCGCGATTCGAAGCGCCAGGTTGGTCCTGGTCAGCATAGTGGGGGTTAGAAGGCCGATCATGGAATTCGAGTGGTTGAGTTTGCTGTGAGCTGTTGAGGTGAAAACCGCGAGTGAAAGAGAGAAATCTACAAGCTGCAAACTGCGATTGCGGTGCTGCATCAAGCACGGGATTAATCCTGCTAAGCCGTGCAACTTATACTGAACGAGTATCTGGCTTTAGGCTTTTCCTCGAAAATGAAGCAGTTCATTGCACTGTTGGACTATTCCCTCTCACAAACCGTAGAAATTACTGCGTCTTCTCTAGAAACATGGAAACTGCTGAACTCTTCGTTTCGTTCTCGTGCATCTAAACTGACAAAGCCGACAGAAAGTAGTTTTAGTGTTAGCTTCGTTTCTGGAGTTCTTTACGGGCTCTTCGGCCGAAGCTTTTTGCTGTGTTGGAGTCTCTAGGACTATGGCGAGCCATGTGGTCGCTAAATATGCAAGAAAACGCAAAAAATGAACGATATCGAGGCCTTTGCAACTATCAAATTGCCCGCAGTTCGGTCTTCGTATCAAGAGGATCAACTCGTGGCCACCTATTGGGTGGACAAGTTGAAGTTCTCTCTTCGCTGATTGGACCATTCCATTTGCATATTTTGCGGCACAACTTCAACAAGATTATTGTGCAAAAAGTGGTAAGAAGCGAAAATCTAAAGCATGAGCGATCCGATGCAAATACGAAGCAATGTTCCCTTCAAGACAAGAAAATGGCAAACGCAATTGTTCCCTTCGAGACAAGAAAGTGGCAAATGCAACAGCAAGCATGAAATAGACCAATTCGGAATTGCATTTACGTGAAAACTATCGTCGCGGCACTAGCGAGCACAAGCAGCGAAGCTCGAGGCAGCCTCCCCTGGATATAAAGTCTGCATTCTCTCTTTACACCTTGGAAGCAGGTCCGTCGTTGTGGTGGCCGATGGGTGACAGCCCGCCCGTGGGCGTGGCGTTCTGGTGGTATGGCACAGGCTCCTCGACCTGCACGTTGCTGTGGCCCTGGTGGTGCGGCTCGCCGCCGCCCACGAACGACAGGCCCAACGACACGAGGAAGAAGAACATGGCGATGAAGGCGAAGGCCGTGGCCGCGCGCAGGTTGTGGCAGTGCCAGCCCGCGCCACAGTTGCTGGTGTAATCCGAGGCGGCCAGGCAGATACCGGCGATGAGCAGCATGAGGGCCAGCAACGCGTCCGTGCCCTGCTCCAGGCGAAGCGCGGGGCGATTGGCCAGGTGCAGAACTTCCACGGCCACGATGTACCACAGCGTGTACAGCATGCCCGTGTAGCCCATTAGCAGCACGAACGTGCTCGAGCGGGTGGAGCCGCCGCCGTAGAAGCCCGCGGCCGCGAACGACATGGCCAATAGACTGCAGAAGAACTGGAGGCCGCGGAGGCCCAAGTGCACATACGCGCGGTTGGTCGGGGACACAGCGCCGATCGGCATAATTTCGGAGGGTTTGGTGGCTGTAGACTCTTGCGTTCTAGGGAGCAGATTGGGAAATGACGCTTGGGAGACAAAAAACTCTTCTTCGAGAGTGTGGGTATGCAAACATGCGACATGGAGCAGGTTTTTCGCATAGAGACGATGAGATGAAGTGAGGTTTATTAAAGAGATGTACCCAATAACAACGGTAGAAGATGCGCTGGCAAAAGCGACTTATTTTCTCGAGGTTTGCTGACTGCAACGTGCTCGGCTCAGCTGAGTTTTGCGGTGTGGGCTGCAACATTTGCAGGCCCCGCATGGTTGAAAGCCGCCGGCTGTTGCCGTCGCCATCGCTGGAAGATGAAAGCCGGGTGTAATTCCAACACTCAACACCTCGACGGCCTGATTGCTGCAATGCAGGCAAGTCCTGCTTCCTGCGATTGTGCACATCAAGTGTTGACCGTTGAGCCGAGAAGCAGGACGCCAACACTCGCACTTTTGCACCTAAAATTGCCAAATCTCGGTTGCGGAGCTCCTTTCCACAACTGCCGGAGCTGGCCACGAAAATCCACTATTGCCCGCAAATGAGAGTGTTGGTGTCCCAGCTGGCAAAAACTTATCTGACCATGGAGTGCTGAAGTGTAGGTCGCTCGCGGAGACCGTCACTACGGGAGCTCTCTATGTATTATCGACGCTGCGTGGTGATTTCTTCGCACTTTTCCACTTGGCAGACAAATTGACAGGCGATTCGATCATGCTTTGCCGCTTCTGCTTGGCGTCGCATCACCATGTCACAAGCTCTCTTAAAGTGACTGAACTCATGAGTGCTCGACGCTCGACGGTGCTGTGGATATCTGACCAACTAAAGTGTCCTGTGTTTTTGATGCTCCTACATGTGCTTGTTTAGATAGCAAAAAAAAAAAAAAAATACCAGGACTACTGCAACGATAGTATAGTACTAGGAGTAGTTCGTCAGGGTTGACGAATTAACTCGCGCATTCTTTAGAGGCAACATGATCACGGAATGAGGCAATTTGTTGAGATGTGAACACAGTTGACGGCACGTTCGACCACGGAGAGATTAAACGTGTGCTTTTAGTGCTCGCGTTCCTATGAGCAAAACTGATAAAACTGCAGCGCACGGTGCGAGCAGCGAGCTGCTCTACCGCTGCAATTCAGTATCATTGCTCAGCGACACGAAACGAAACGTATCTAGACGATCAAGTGTTAACGATACTATGTATGTAAGAAGCTGATCTAGGCCCGTGGGGGTGAAAGCCCCATCGTTCCACTCTCATCAACGCCTGAACGATGAAAAGGCCGAGCTCAGAACGAGCCCGGCCACCACCAAGCATTCCTATTCCACGCCTGTAACAGAGCTAGCGCTACGAGGGAGAGCAAGTAAACTCCTGACATAAGAGCGTGGCAGTCGGTCGGCAACAATTCCCATACAAAAAGTCAATCTTCCGGCTTCGCGTTATTTTCCGGACTGACGAGCTCAGACCTGCAGCGCAAAAATGACTGGCGAGCAGTCTTTATCCAAAAGTAGCGTTATTAAGTCAAATGTAGCCCATAAGTACCAAAACAACCTTCTGAAACGGCTGTATCATTTTCCAAAGGATTACACCAACCCGAATAGAAGCCCCATTATTCCGGCGCCGCACATTCGATCATGCTGCAGTTCCTGCGTCGCGTCGCGGCTTCTTCGGCCACCCGGAGAGCGTTCACGCAGGATGTCCAGCCTCTCGGTTTGCCATACAAGCGTCGTTCATTGTATCCGCGCTTCAGCAGCTCTCAATCGAGCGCTGACAAGCCCCTAGGACTCAAGGACGGCGTCAAGACAGCTTCCGGCTTGTCGCCCACCATGCAATTGCTGGTGGTGTACGTGGCTGCAGGGATGTCGGCTATGGGCGTCGTCGCGCGCTACAAAAGCCGAGACGCCGAGGAAGACGAGGTGTGTACCATTCTCTTATTTTTCGTGTTGCCATTGCCATAATGGCAACTTGCAACTTTGAAGTTACCTTTTGCAAAACTGAAGTTTCACTAACGCCAAAAGTTGCCGTACCACAGAATGTTCGCATTTTCAACATGGCAAAACGTGCCGTAGTGAAAGACCACCGCGTGTTCGAGACTGTGGGGTATCCGAAGGAGTTCGAGCGTATCCAGGAGTTCGACGCCGACGGATCTCCAGTCGAGCTCAAGAGCAGCGAAGGAAGCTTCAAAGTCACGGGCGACAAGTACGTGGCAAAGCGTTTTAAACATTTTTGACACATGTCTAATATTTTTTTTTTCTGGCAGAGGGAGCGTAGTGGTGCATTATCGACAGAATGTGCACGTAAACGACGAAAAAGACAGCGACATCGTCACGTTCGACCAGTTGAGTGTGGACTGTGAGGACGGCACGCAGTTCTCGGCGCTAGAGTCGTTCCTACAGAACCAGGACGTCGTGACACACCAAAAGTCCGAAACATTAGGCAACAAAATGTTCTTCCCCGTGATCGGCGGTGTGTTGATCGGAGGCGTGGCTTCTTTCTTCGCTATCCGCATCCTGCGTAACCGACCGTTCTACGTGCACAAATTGGTGCTGGACCACGTTAACAACCACGATATGGCGCGTCAGTTGCTCGGACACCCTATCAAGAGCGACAGATCCAAGTACGTGGGTGTGCTGACGAACGAGGCGGCAAACTACACCATCGCATGCAGTGGACCCAAGGGCAACGGCACGATCATCGTCAAGGCCTTCAAGAAGGACAATCCGGACGAGAAATCTGTGGACAAACCTACCGGAGTCATGACCACGCCCGGTACGTCCTGGAAGTTTTCCACCCTCGTGTTGTCCGTCAGTCGCAATGAAAAACGAAAGGCAAAGAACGCCAAGACCATCAACCTGTTGAGCGGTGGCGACGTGCCGCCACTGTCTTCCAAGCGAACATAGCGGACGAGTAGAAACATTTTTAGGCAATGATAGGTCCGAAATAATAGAAATAAAAAACTGGCAAAAATGTTTCATGTCAGCAACCCAAAATACTAGGCTGAAACATCACTACAAATGAAGACAGGAAATGGCACGATGATGCCACTTGACGCCACTCTCGAGTTTTCTCCTTCTCCCGCAGTTGTTAAGATGAATTTGGCCATGTCTCCGTATGTGATCACTCTCGTGTGTATTTTACTGCGCGGTTTGCAGCTTACATTCGCTCTGGTGTCGTTGATCACCGCCACGATGTCGTTCCCAATATCCACGTCGTCCAACGACAAAGACTATCGCCTCGGGAGTTCCGAAGCCACGTTCGTATTGTTCGTGTCCTATACAATCGTCGAGTATTCTGGGGTGTTTTTAATTCTAGTGGAACTCTTCCCCATGATGCTCCGACCCCGCGCAATCTTCACACGAGTAATGGATAGTTTCCTGGCAGTAGTTGCAGTAATCTCGGGGATCGTTTTGGCATCGAGCGACTACGTGCAACGCTGTGACGAGTATGCGACTTTGGTGCATTGCAGCAACTTAAAGGCATCGAGTATCTTCGTTATCCTGTGTTTTATTCCGCTCATCGGTTCGGTGTTTTTAACGTTCGTAAAAGCCGAAGACCCAAGGTTTACAATGGAAGAGTGTCGTGACCGAGCGGGCAGCTACCGAATGGTAACTACGCCTATAACTTCGACGTTGTCCCGAATCGACACTCGAGATATCGTCACGGCTTAGGAAAAAAAAAGATTATGAAATGAAAAAACTATATTTTTTTAATTGAATAAAACATTATTGTGCTGCACGACGACGCATGACTGTGCTTGTGCAGTTGCGACGGAAGTCGAGGTGGCTATTGCTCGGACGTCGTTTACGCATACTGTCGTAGTATTTATCTCGACGACGTCGACTGTTCTGCACGTAGTCGTAGCGTTTGTCGGCAATGTAAATTACTACAACACACGCGACGAAAGTGAGGCCGATGGATGCGAAGAAGAGGCCGAGACCGCACACAGGTCCGATACATGCGTCACCCGTGCCCTTCCTGCCTTTGGTAGAGCTTGACACGGCTGGAGCTGCGGCGAACACTTGGGATAGTTCGTCTTGAACGGTACGCTGACGTTTAACAGGAATTGCTTTGTCACTCTCAACTTTGTGGGGAATGACGACAGGACTGGACGGGGTTATGATGTGATTCGGGACGGCTCCATGGCGGAGCGAGTTGGCGTTTGCCTTGACTGGAAAGTGGAGAACCAGCAGACACATCACCAGCATCAGAGACACTGCCAAAATGGAGGAAGATGATCTCATTCGCATGATCAGAGATGAAGGACGAAGAACGGAATGGCTGCGCTGCAGAGCGAGAAATATAGTGTGAATTCCATTGAACCATCTCGATTTGCTCGATCTCGTGATTTCTAGCTTTGCTAAATGTATCGTGGACTGTTTGAAACCAACGACTACTTTTAACTAGCGAGTGATGGGCTTCAAAAAGCGGAAACGACCGAGGTGATACCAAGTCTAATTTCAGCATCTTCCTCGTGGAGTGTACAACGCATGGATACTAAACTTAGTGGAGTGAGAGCTGTTCGTAAGGACATGCATAATACAGTAGTATAATCTGGCCATAAAGCATATTAAAACAGATGTGAAACAGGCAAAACTGAATTATTTCTTACAATGTGAGGTTGTTTTTATCCGACTCGGCAATAAACTTTCCTAAACTACCCCACGGACGTTTACATTATCCAGACTAGTTCACTCTGTGCAAACTTAGCTTGGAAAGTGTACAAACAAATTCGCAAAGTGCATTGAATAACATGTTTGTAATCAACACTCACAGCTTGAAGGAGTAGTAGAAGTCACCAGCTACCCTTAGACCACTTCGCGTTTTAAGCCTGATGAATCGAGTACAGTACTGCACCCCGTTTTCGCACTCTCGGACCTTAGATAAACTTTCGGATATAATATTCCTTTGCCCAAATATCCTCGGGTTTCTATGTAGAAATCTGGTGTGCTTGCGAATCCAATATAGTCCGCTCCTGTGATAACGTGGTGCATAACTGTACTTCGTGTAATTATCCCATTGGTAATGGTCCGGGTGATCATTCGGTTTTGCTACGGATGCTAAGCTTCGCAGCATCGAATCTGGAGTGAATCCCATTTCGTCAGTTTTATTGAACAGTTCCTCGTTCGATAGACTTTTCACTGGGTCGTATGCGGATCTGCTCCCAAGCGTCAGGTCCGACCAGTAGTAAACTAGTGATACGATTTTTTTTTTAATTTGCATGATCATTACGCAGTTTTGATGCATGGACATTACACAATAATAAAATGTAAAATGCATTTATCTATTAAGGGGCCCCTTGTTCGTAGCACTCAAAACGCGCACTACCTCTAGTCGCTACTACAAAATGGTACTGGTGTGCTAACAACTTTCGATGACCGATATTGTGACAGGCTACTGTCACACAAGTCGCCACCGCTCTATCGCGGCGGCCAATTAGAGTTCTGCAAAGATCCACTGGTTGTGACGGCCTCGAGTGTCGAGGCCATCTCGGTAGTAATCTTCAGAGTCTAATATAGCTACATCTTCCCAGTTCACGAGTGTAAGCTGGTAACGGTATCCCGTTACACGACAGGTTTGCACGTACATCGTCTGCCTCTATACGATAGCTTGTTGCACACCCTGCTCGTCACCTTGAACGGCCATGTCTTCCTCGCCACAGTCTTCACCGGGGTCAAACGAGAAGTCCGGAATCAATGTCATCCACGCTGGCGGCCTCACTCCCTACTACTAAATCAGGATCACTTTCATGCATCCCATCTTCACGCTTAGTTTCAGTAAAATTTATTGGAGCGGGAAGATCAATCGACATAACGCTACACTCGTCAGCACTACTGGCGTTGGTGCTTCTTCGCCCCTTCTATTTGTTTGCAGTGATCCTATTGCCTCTGCTACGTCGGTTTTGTGCCACGTTGGTCGTCTTAGTAACGTCACGATAAAACCCGCCCACAAGCGTTTGAAGTTTGAAACTGAAGTCAAATATTTTATTCAATACTATGTGTTTATTTAAATGGACAAAGTGCCATCTGGTATTTTATCCAATAGGTTTTTTTACTGGCCATCCTTGTAGTCACCACCAGCGTTTTTCACTTGTCACTCTCAATATGGCGCCCCAGCGCTTCAATCCAATATCCAAGAAGCGCCATGCTATCTCGAAAGCCGAAGAACTTGGTGTCCGACCTGCGGCGAAGTAATTAGATAACCCTCGTCGCACTCTGCGTGACCTGATAGACAACAAATAGAACATCGACACCTTCAGTGGTCGCCATACAAGCAAGACTCTGAAAGGCCAGGGAGTTAAGAGCATTATCACTGTTGGGCATGATGTCTGTCAGCCTTTGGACGTTGGGGAAATGGGGCCTCTAAAGAAAAAAAGATTACGGCACTCTGGGTGGCTGAGACCCGCAAATCTACAAAAGAAAAGTGCGCGCAGTGTGGGATGGTGAAGAAGTGTAAGTGTCAGAAGGGGTGCCGGTGTCAGAACAAGTGTGTGTGCTGTACGTTGTGTGGGCTTGGAGAGGATTGCGAATGTTTGGACCATTGGCACTAAATCGCTACCAAACTACTGGTAATTAACGAGCGCGACGAATGGAAAACCAGGATTCCCTCCTAGGAGAGAAGAAAGTTT